GGCAGCGCACGCACAGCACATACGTGTATTTATTTATCCCCTGCCCGGGCAATCTAAGTGCAAATGTCTCTATTTATTATTTTTTTTTAAGCCCTTGTCTCTTCCTCCCTGAGAACTGCGCTCTCGGCGGGACTTGCGCGCGTCGCCGCCGGGGGAGGCAGCCGGGGGGGATCCTGCGCTAGTGTCTGTCTGCAGCCGCGTTTCTCTATCGGTGATGGAGGTGACAGAATGACACAGTTTCGGCGAGCGCGGGACTGCACCAGAAGCACTTCCACTGCTGATTTGTTTAAATCGGCCATGTTTGCGGATCGGTTAAGGCGGGCTGGGAAAGCGAGCGCGGCGCTAGCTCCGGGGTGTAGGGGAGGCCAAGCAGGTGAGAAAGCGGGTGATCTCATCTCGCTAATGCGAAGGGACACAAGATTTCCCCGGCGCCGTGAGAACACATGGCCTCTTCCACTGCGTCTGTTAAATAGCCCGCTGCCATTTGCATAACAGTGATAACAAGCAAATTCCTCAAAACAGCCCCGGCTCGTGCAAACAAGCCGGGAATTCATCTCGCGAGGAGGGAACCAAAATAAGGAAAAGCAAGAGCCTCCCTCCTCGCGTCCGCGACTCCGGACCCGTTCGCCCCCGCCTCCGCGGTCACGCTGGTGCCCGCGCCGGTAGGAGGGGCTACGCGCAGCCCGCTCCTGTTCCCCTTGCGGCCCGTTTCTGTTTTCGCGAGCGCCGCCATCGCTGTCCGCTCGCAGAGCACAAGGAAGCTTCCCCGGCGGGCCGCGCTCGCCGCGGGCGCCGCAGCAACGTTGCGTCACTCGCGCATAGCTGGGCTCGCGCAGGGGCGCTCGCTGCCCGGTGAGTCACCTCTCACCGAGGAAAACGTTGTTACACTCGGTGCGCGTGCAGGCTCTTCCAGCTGCGCGGGGCTGCACAGATGGCTTTCTTTTGGTATTTCTTCGTGCTCCCCTTGTTGCTAGAAGTACCCCCCCAAAAGCCCTTTGCCGTTTCCCCTCTACGCTTTAAAGGGACTTCGGGTTTCCATGGCACGGCGCCACATCTCCCCTGTTCGCGCACACACTCCCTCCAGCGATTTAGCGCGGAGTATAAAAGATACCTTGTATTCTGCTAATGGCATTTCAAAACTCACATGACTAAACGTTGTTTCCTCAAATAATTCCATTCCTTTCATATCGCCATGCGTCTCATTTCCATTTTTAGATGTCTAAAACGCTTTATATGTGTCTAGTTATAATCTATAAAGCTGGCACACGAATTCGGTATGTATGTGATCTGAATTATTTTAAAATGAAAGCTTAATGAAATGCATACACTAAAGTCGCGGAAATGGTGGAAGCAGATAAAATGCAGTAGGAAAACCAATTCTGACAAAGCAACTTTTTTTTTTTAGCAAATCTTGCAGAAGCAGCAGGTAGAGCTAGGAAAGTCTTTGAAATATCTGAGTCTCCTATATGCAAATTGACTGAAGAAGATGAGCTGAAGTAGAGTGGATTTCACACTTACAAATTTCACACCTCAACTGTGGACATTACAGATGCTTCACAGCTCCTAGCAAGGCAGATGAAAGCCAGTTAAAGACTTTGCTTCCAGCCATAGCGATTTAATGATGGCTGTAGGATTTCTACATTAATATGACTTTACTTGACTAAACAAGAGTGTGTTCACTCTGATTCATACTAGAAGGTCAACTCCTCTCCTTTACTGCCCTGTGTTGATCTTCGTATGAGAAGCAGAACTGGGCTCTGGGAAAAGGTCAGTGCCTGCTTAAAAAAAAAAAAAAAATGAGGTTGACAGAGCTGAGGCTTCCCCCCTCGTCCCAAGTGCCTGGAAATACCGAGCTGCAGAGTATCCCGAGCTTGTTTCAATCCCTGGCTTGTAGAAGTCCTACAAATGACAAGGCGCTCTCTGTGCTCGAACCGCCCCTTACCCCGGCTCCTCGCTCCGCTGAGTCCTCCTGCAAAAAGCCCTTTTTTGGTAACGCTCACCTCACAGTAACAGGCAGACGCCTTGGCTCACAAGAGCAGTCTTTATAGTGGGTGTAAATAATAATCACCTTAGTTATAATCTCGTCTCAGAAAACCATTTACAGGTGCTGTCAACTCCCTTTATATTTTGTGAATAGAACGGGGGGAAATAAAAGGAAAAAAGAAAAAAAAAGAAAAAAGAAAGCGGAGATTAGCATCTGTGACCCGACCGAACTGTCTTTACTTTTACTTGAAGGATACACAGTCGTAGCAATATGTTTGTTTTTCCGTAATGATTAAACCTCGATTCAAACTTTGGTCCCGGGCATGAACGGTGCCATTACGCAAGCGGCACTTGGGGATGGAGTGTGAGCGCAGCAGCGCTGCGGCTCGCAGCTCTGCTCATCTCCGCGCGGCTGCCGGATGGAGACCCGCGCTGCAAACGCAAATAGACGCCACGCCGTGGCACCTTCACGGGGAACGTGTTGTCAGCGTCAATCTAGTCTGCTCGGGCAAAACAGCTTGATCGGCGGCGATGTAACAAAGCCGAACGCGGGCAGCGCTCCGCCCGCCGGGGTGGCGAGCGGGGCGGCCGCCTCTGCGCCTCCCTTCCCGCTACCCTGTCCTCCGGCACGCGGGTGGCGAACAGGAGCCAGCCAGATCAGCCTTGCTGGATTTACACTAAACATGTCTGGTGTTTATTTAGCTCCGAAATAATCCAGGAATTAAAGTGACGTTTGGAGGAGGAAAAGAGGAAGCCCAAACAATGAAGCCATTCAGGTGCCCGATCTGTCTCAATGAAAGCACGAAGCAAGCAAACAAAAATCAACACGAGGAAAAAAAACAGACAGTAGCTTGTTTAATAAGAGGGAGAGGAGAAAGCGAGGAGAGACGGGGCCGCAGTCCCGAGCAATTGTTACAAATGTATTTCTTTTTTTTTGCGCAGGAAGGCGACTCAGCACTTTGGCTGCAGCGTTAGGGATTCTGCAGAGATTGCCCCAAGTTTATGACCTGTCAGCAGTCCCAATAGCCAAGGAGTATAATTTTCACTATCTGAGGTAAAGAACTACTAACTCCTTCCTTTTAGTGCTAGGATAAATATTACCGTCCCGTAATTCCTTTTCCTCTATTCCCGTTACCCACTTTAAAGTACACGCGCGTACACACGCACGCATCTGTGTAACATTTAAACAGTAGGTGAAGCTAGGATTTAAAAAAAAGAGAAGCAGGGAGTTGCGTACATAGAAAATGGCCAGCACCCTTCCTAGGACAACCAGCGGCAATGGGAAGCAGGGGATGCAAGGCACCATTACGGCCGGAATGGCGAATCCTATGTAGTAAGTGCCTGACTAAACTCACGTCAGATTTTTTTTTCCGGGTCATTCTCGGGCACTAGCTTCCAAAATCCCGGTATTACTATTGATTTCGATGCAGAAATTGTTTATTATTGA